CTACTTTTAATTTTTTAAGGACCCTCCGCACTGTTTTCCAGAGCGGCTGCACCAGTTTGCAAGCTCCTTACTCTTCCACAAGAATGGGGAGCCTATGAGAATTCTGAGGTTGAAGGGGGAAAATGCAGTGCAGGTGATTTAAAAGGATTCTGAAACCGCATTCACTGTTGCTAGGAGATTAAGTTGGTTCAACTTCTCTGAACAGCAGTCTGCACATGTTTACTGACCACCTACCACTGCTTGGGCAGATCGCATAGCCAGCAAAAAGTTGCATGGAGCCAGCCTGCAGACAAGTGCACAAGAGAAACGTGGATCAAGCCATTCCATAGATAAAGCAGATGCCTTTGTCCTTGGAGAGCATATGAGGGAGAAACGCGAGTGAACCAGGTCAGAGAAGGCTCACCAGAGAGAATGGACACCCGCCGTCCTCTAGAGCAGCTGTGCTCCATGTGTGGTCCTGGGACCAGAGCATGAGCATCACCTGGGCACTATTAAAAATGTATATTCTGGGGGTGCCTGGGTGGCTCAGTCTGTTAAGTATTGGACTTAGCCTCGGGTCCTGCTCTCACGGTTGGTGGGTTTGAGCCCTGTGTCAGGCTCTGTGCTGACAGCTCAGAGCCTGGAGCCTGCTTCAGATTCTGTGTCTCCCTCTCTCTCTGCCCCTCCCCACTCATTCATTTTCTCTCTCTCTCTCTCAAAAATAAATAAACGTTAAAAAACTAAATGAAAAACAAAATAGATTGTTGGGTTCCTCCCAGAGCTCCTGCATCAGAAGCTGGGGGTAACGCCCAGGAATCCAGGCTGTAAGGAGAGTGAGATATTCAGAGAGCCCCTGCTCTAAGGTATGTTTGGAAAGTAAATAAGGGGAGAGGGTTCCAGGAAGAAGACTGAATTTGTACAGAGACCCCATGACACTCATAAGACATCAGACTTCAAAGACTGGCGGCCCAGGAGGTACACGGTAACTTTGGGGGCTCACAAAAATGTTCCAGTTCTATTTTCTTCAAAATTAGTTTTTTTAATGTTTATTTTTGAGAGAGAGAGACAGAGACAGAGTGTGAACGGGTAAGGAGGAGAGAGAGAGGGAGACACAGAACCCGAAGCAGCCTCCAGGCTCTGAGCTGTCAGCACAGAGGCTGACGCAGGGCTTGAACTCATGAACTGTGAGATCATGACCTGAGCCAGAGTCGGATGCTTAACCGACTGAGCCACCCAGGTGCCCCTTTACATTCTTTTAAAATCAGAAGAAAAAAGATGGATGCAATAATAACCAATATGTAATAATCAATCCAGCCTGGGTTATATCCACTTTATACCACTGCAGTCATAAAATATGTTATTATTATTTCATGGAGGAAGGGGTCCATGAAACCAAATTGTCTAGAGCCCATGAAATATCACTGTGTGGCCCTCAGTCGTGGGACAGTTGAGCCATACTTCTTAAGACTTTTAAAACCACTGAACTCAGATGTTCACCTTGCCAGTCCTGGCAAGACTGAGAGCCCAAACTAAAAGCTTGTTGGCATCCAAATGATAATGTTAATGGCACCTTCACCCACATTAGTGTGAACTTAATCCTTTGAGCAACCACACAACAGAGAGTTATCTCCACAGAGAGTTATTTCCTCACTTTCCAGATTAGGAAATTTAAAAAAAATGTCTTGGTGAGGTGACACAGCTAGAATTCAAGATCAGACGGTTCTGACCTCTGTGCTCTTTTATTTTGACATCACTTCCCAGAGGCAAGTGACTATGAATTATGTGGCTCTGACTGTGAGTGAGGAGATAAATATCCAATACCCACCGTGTAGCAACTATGGGCTAGACATGTCTAAGATGGGGCCCCTTGACCTCTAAAGCCTCCTGGTCTATTGGGGGTGATAATCAACATGATTCTCAGCTCTAGCAATGCACAGTATTCTCTCAGCTCTGTATGAGAGGGGATGGGAGACTGGTTCCGAGAATGAAATGGAGGGCTGAACATCACTGCCTGAGGATTTGATTTGCTCTTTGTTCAGGCGTCCTTTGTCTGAATCCTCGTTCTGAAGATGACTAAACTGTGGCTCAGCATGGTTGAGTGCCTTGCTCGTGGTCTCAGAGCAAGTAAATGGTGGAGCCTAGTTTCGAGCCCGTCCGATTAACTGCATCCGGCACTCCAGTGGGATTTGAGAGGTAGGTGGGATTTCAAAGAGGCCCAAGTGGGGAAGTTGACATTCTGGGCGGAGGGAACAGCAGAAGGCAGCGTGGGAGGGGTCTTGCTCAGCATAGCACACGGGAACAGAAAGGGACATTTTTCAGAATGGATCTCTGGGAACAGATGAAAAGGCTTTGGAAGCCAAAACAAAATGGAGGTTGAACTTCTTCCAGAAGGGAGCAGAATAACAGGTCTGGGTTTCCCAGGAGATCTCTGTGGAAGCAGAGTGGGAATGAATTAAAAGTAGGGAGTGAAAGTAGGGGGGCGAGCAGGGGGCTCTTCCAAAAGTCTGGACCCAAGGAACAGAAAAAGATGCTTTGGACGTCCAGAAAAATTCACATAACCCCAACATGAGAAAGAGCGTGGCAGGGGTCCAGGTTGTTTTAACGTAAAATGCGGCATCCCGAGACGCTTTGCTGTGTACCAAGGCCCTGTCCACAGCATCTTCTTTCAAGATCAGATATACTGCTGTAAAAACATTTCGTTTTTATGGCTTTTTAAGGCTGGAAGCCACAGCCACAGGGAACATCACAAGGTGAAGTGCATCATAATAAGATTATATATGTATGGGTGTGTGTATATCTCTGCACCTGCAAAACAACACAGGCTTCAAGGTTAACGGGCAATGTCTTTTAGGGGAAATGGCTTGTCTCTGTAGCTTCTGTGCACACATTTGTTGGTAGTGACATAATTCTGGAAAATGTGTAAAAGAGAGGCAAAGCTGTAACAAGGTCCAGGCCAGCCTGCGAAGCCAACACCTCCCTGGTGTTTCTCTCAAAGAAGCACATCCCAGGCTGCAGGGTGGACCTTATCTGCAGCCCACCCATCTGGAACCTTTATTTGAGCAGCACCCCATGGCCAGGCCTGGGTGGCACAGAGATAAGAAAATACCAATCAGCCTTCAGGAGCAAAGGATATCTGGGGAAAAGACCTACGACAAACAATTAACTTTATTGCCAGATGAGTGCTTTAATCCAGGAAAAGGGCTAAATGCTCTGGGGGATGAGGGGTATAGCAAACAATGAATTCTGCCGGACACAGGCAGTGGGGTCCAAGTAGGCTGTGGCGAGAAGGGAGACTACTGGGGAACGCATACTGAGCATTATTCTCCTGGGAAATCTGAGTTTCCTCCATACCTTCAGTTTGTGGGAGGGGCTCTAAATCCTTAGAAGGAAGTCACAGGGGAGTGTCTCCCCAGTGCATCCG